CTTGAAAGGATGTTTTTGGATATGCTCTCTTAAGATAATCTAATTTATACATATTAGAAGGGGTATTTCCATAAAGGAATGTGGGAAAAACAGGCTTTTACTATTAAAATACACCTGACTCCTGCCAAATGCCATTGCCAACCAAAGTGGCAGCCCATGAGACTGATGGCCCATAGAAAGACTTGGAGCTACAGACCATTTTATTAGTAGCAGTTGCTGTAGTCTACCACTGGCATTACTGGGATTCCTGGCTGCATTCAGAGTGGTGGGGGGAGGGGCTACCATGCAAATGAATGGGTATTTACACAAGCTAAAAAAATTCCTGTCATCAACTTTAGTTTTCTTGATGCAGAGCTTTGTTCTTGAGAAGTAATGCAAGCCTTTACTCACAACACACAGATAAGGCGCTGTTATTTCACATATTTCACAATAGGCCATTAAAGGAAATTTTACTTTGGCACCCAGCCTCCTCCTCAAAATACAGAAAGTCGTTTCACACTGTGGAATGAATCAGTCTTGGGATCAGGATGTGCAACTCATGCCCACTCACCTCTGCTCTCAATTTACGTTCCTCTCTGTGGTGACTGACAAACTCTTTAAGTTTGCTTACAAGGGCAAATCCCAAAGCTGTTTCTGTTTTTTCTTCATCACTAGTGATTAGTAAGTATATAAGTAACGTTTATTTAATATAGCACCTTTCACTAAGCAGTCACAAAGTGCTTCACAAAAGTAAAATGATTAAAGATAACATCATAAAAGTCGTGAAGAATTATGAATTTAAGCTGGTTAGACAGGAACCTGGTCTAACAGATTCAGTTACAGAGGTGTAATAAAAATCTATTGTTCACTATGCTGCCAAACTAGATGTAGAAACTGAGCTAAGTTTTTTTTTTTTCAATAGAGGCAAAGGTCAGGGATTCCTAATAGTGTTTTACCGGGATCCATATCAGATCAATGGAGAGTGCAGAAAGATGACAGTTTAGATTTTACTTGATGACATAGAAATTAGTGATTCTGTATTGAATGAGTGTTGAGTGCGATCTGAGATTTGACTCTCAGATGTTAATTTCCTACAACATTACAGAGAATATTGATTAAAACAAGACCCAACGCCAATCTGTGGGTCCAAAACTTTAACAGAAAAATGGGGGTCCGGCCTCTGAGTTTTTATATGGGGGGCCCCTGAGATTAAGAAAAGTCCTGGATGTCCTGAGTATTAGAGACATAAACTGATGGTTACTGCCAACCAGACTGAAACAACTTGAGTTTATCTGCGTCTGCCTTGTAATTTAATTAATTTAGCTGTAACGTTACTCCCTCTGCAGAAGAGAACTGCCATATGCACCAGCACTCCTCAGATAGAAAGATTATAAAATAAGCCCATTAAATCTAACCTTCTTATAAACTTCAATTCGTATAAATGGTTCGACGATGGCTGCTTTATTATAATAAAGTGAACAAGTGAAAGAAGCTCCATGAGAAAATGTTCCACTTAAAAACCAAAGTGTAAGCAGATGTCGAACCAAAACTGATCAAATCCCAACCGCACGCACATCTGGGAGGACACGTGAACACGCATTACAGCAATGATATAATACATTTAAACAGGTGGATTTATAAAGTGAACATTACAGACATATTTCTGAGGACAGGACCTGTCAATTGCTGAAGTACAGTAAACGGTTAGGTGATTTTCTGTAATATTACCCGAAACGTTAGCTTCTGTTAAACACATTTAAGATATACTTTTCGATTAACGGTTAGGACACTGTTGTGGTTATTTTCTCCTAGTCTGTGAGCCGTTAATCGGGCCATCAGAGCCAGCCAGGCAGGCAGGAGCCATAGGAGCCATAGGAGCTACACTACATCGTGTAAACAGCATTAACGTTACCTGAAACTACAAGGGCCTCGTTTGGTCCCACGGTGTGGCAGTTTCCCATTTTACCGACAGAAACAAATGGTATCCACACTTATTCGACGAATACAAATGTAATTCGGCTTTTAAACACTAATTTCTTCTCTTTTTACACCGAACTAATTTTCTTCACAACACTCGCTCGGTGCTCCACGCCCCTATCGATCTTTTTTCTTTTTTTTTCAAAATGGAGAGTCACAGTCGAGTAACGGATGCGTCACATCAGCCGTAATGAGACGCGGAGCTTCCGCTTAAGATTTTCAACATAAAAGTCGTTTTGCTGAACATGTGTTTAAGTACTCTTTTTGGTTTTATTTTGAAGATTACATTGACAAACTTTGGTTCTCATTGTTCTGTCACTTGACTCAGCTGATCAGATACCCCTCCTCTCTCTACTGCCCCTCCTCCACAGAACAAGACCATTTCATAATAATAAAATAGGCGTGGTTGATAATGTCCTCTCACGCAAACAGCCTAAACAGCAATAATTGTAATTTTCCTGTGGGAGTCCTGCGTTTAGTGACCAGATCACATAGTAATTAACTCATCTGATGTCATGGATTGTGATATAGTCATAAGTATTGCAATTTTAAAGCTTGAGATTATGTCACTAACTGCAGTTTAGCAGTATGCATGGTGAACTAGCTGATAAAGTCTAGGTGGGATTGTCCATCCACATGTCCCCCAGCTCCCAACCATGGCAGAGTCAAAGTACTAGATTAGCTTTGATCGGTCAGATGAGATGATGCTTGATGTTGGGTGATTTGTGGACTTGGCAGTGTTGTACCAGTACACACTTTAAAAGAACTAGCTCAAAGTTCAGTTCATACAGATGAAAATGAACAAAATTTACTTAAATTAAGTTCACAGTTCCAAAACCGAACTAGTTTTTTACTTTAAATAAATAGGCCGATGTTCTTTTTCGATAGAACCTCCTTCTACCCATCCATCACCAGCCCCAAATCATTGCCACTTCCAACTAAATGAATTATTGTATACCACTCACACAAACATTTGTTAGACTTAAAATCCGTACATAAATATAATGCTCAAACAAACTGGCTTCAGCAGCGGCAGATGCGTTTATACCGTCTGTACCGCTTGCATCAGCCAAGCTGGGCCGTGTCTATGGAGACGTTATGCAGCGTGCCGTAAAACTGAAATAAAACATGAGCTAAAACTGTCGTAAAAACGTGAGTGAATGCCGCTCACGTTCACGTTCATCATTTGTAAAGTGATTCGTTCAATTCATTGTTCACGCACAACACTGACACTTGGCACATTTCTTTTCCCACTTAAACCCAAACAACCTGTTGAACTCTTCAGAACTGCCTAGCTACTATTACAGCTTAGATTTTTGATTCTGAAAAGGCAAGAATTTAAGGCCCATATGAAGCCGGTGGTGCTCTTCTAAAATTAGGGACATCTGCCATGGATGATATCCAAACTCCTTATTTCAACATCCTCTCAGAGTGTAGGGCTAAGACTTCTGCCTCTTTAAACTCAGTGTTAAAGAAGCAGACTGTACACTGTTAGGACATTCTGACTTTTAGATTCAGGCACATGGCTTAATGGACCTGGCCTGCAGCTGCTGGATGACTGACATCTTGTTGTTCTCAGTTCATCTGCTGCTGCAGTGTGCTGTGCTGTTTGAAAATGGATTCAATTTTGTCTTACAGTTAATGAGAACAGGAAGTGGATTACAACATTTTCACCCTTCACAGTTCCTCCCATACAAGGCTCCTGTCTGATGTCACCATCAAACCACAGCCCCACTGCTCTACCTTTAACCCTCTGCCTCCTCTCCATCACACTGCCTTCTTTCTGCTCCATGTCCCTTCTTCGACCGGAGGCATGTTTGTGTGACCTGTGATGTTCACCACATCATCCCTCTGCTGTTTTTCCTCTTTAACCCAGCTCCCCTGGGGAAGCTTCATACTGGTTTCTTTCCAGCTTCATTCGAGTGACACTAAATCTTCCCCACTTATCTCTGTTTATATGTGCCATGCATGTTGATGCTGCTGTCAGGAGAATATACGTCTAATATCTAGTCAGTTGACTTCTTTTTGATAAATGGCTACCGCTTGTGTTGTGAGTTGTTTGGATACTGTGAGATGTTTATTTTGAGGGCATTCAGCTAATAACGTTTATTTCTCAATTTGCCAAATAGAGAAAATGTTTTCTCTAAAATGTCGACATGATAAATATGTTGATCTCTCGTAAGTGATGTGGGACAATAAAGGAAATCACTAAATATCCAGCTGGGACATCAGCCTATTTGCAAAGACAAGTGCAAAGCTAATATATAAATGCTCTGTGAGAAGCTGCTGCGTCAGGTTGTTTGTTGTTTTTCTTCACAGTTTTACATTTAAAGAGCCACGATCCATATTTCTGCTTATGATAAAGATCATGGTGAAGGGAGTGCGGTTTGTTTGGCCACAATCACCCCACCTGAAATCTGTGTTACAGCACGTGTCACTGAGAACAAATTACGCAATTTTTGCGGACACTCATGTCAGGCATACTGCACATGTGTAACAAACTGGTTGTAAAAGTGTTTTCAAAAAATTAGCTCAAAGCTCAAATCTCTCCTTCGTTTTCACTGGGGAGCTTTAGATTTCTTCTTGATGTAAAAATCTTTGTGTTACAGAGGAGCAGAGAGCTTGTGGAGTGTATGAGAAGTCAAAATAATCATTTATTACAAAACAATTTAAAAGTTAAGTCTTGTCGATTTTCTTTGCCTGAGATGTCTTCACAGATGATCATTTTTGACCCTATGAACATTAATCTGTCAATAATATATATATAAGTTGTATCTATGTAAAAAAAAAATAGAATTTCCACACTTAATAAACAATGAATTTTAAAAAAGTTTGTCTTGTGAATGAATGAAAATAAAAATTCCTCTCTTTTTTTTCACCCATTTGCATTTTATATACATTATTCTGAGGAGCTTTGTGACATCTATCAACGAAGACAAACTTTTCCCTCTCTGAGCCCCAAAGCCGCTGCATGCTGGAGTGTTTCTGCTAAGCTAATCATTAAGGATAATAAAAAGGAAGGTTATATCACCCAGAGTCACTTAAATTCCGGTCAACTTTTCCATGGAGCTTGGGCCAAGACGAGCGACAGTGGTGACACAGGGAGCAGACATGGATCAACACCTCAGCAGACCAACATGGAGCAGGCAGATAGAGTTCACTCTGGCTGGCATCGGCTGTGCTGTCGGTCTGGGCAACGTCTGGAGGTTCCCCTATCTCTGCTACAGGAGCGGAGGAGGTGAGACAACCGGGCAATTCATCCTCGAACAATGTAAACACATTGGTCTCAAAACTGGGTCCAAAGGTTCACATCGTGTGTTGTTAGTGAGCCCTGCTTGGAACAACGTGTTTGTCACTGAGTGTGTGGAAAAATGTTCAAATTGTGTTTTTTTAATCTCAAATTCTGAAATGATCTCAGCACGTACAGTTGATAGGATTATTAGTTTACAATAATAAAACTGTAAAATTACAAATGACCCAGGAGCATGATGACTTTGGCAGAAGTTAAGGATTAGAGGACTCCATAAAACTACACAGCCGTTAACCTCCTTTGCCAGGAAAATGTGTGTGACAGTTGATCCGCCATCACTTCCCCCCAGGTGCCTTTCTGGTACCGTACCTGCTCATGCTGGTGGTGTTGGGGATCCCTCTGCTCCACATGGAGCTGACTGTGGGTCAGTACATGAGGAGAGGGCCCGTCCACGCTCTGGCTAATGCCTGCCCTCTGTTAAAAGGTACCAGTCACAGTTTCCAGTCACATAAAGGTCTCCAAACTGAAACATGGACATTTGCCTGACTGTGAAAAACATTTTTGTCTATCCTCAGGAGTGGGCATGGCATCAGTGGCAATCTCCTTCATCATGTGCACCTACTACAATGTTGTGATCACCTGGGCCCTTTACTATCTCTTCAGCTCCTTCCAGGCACCGCTGCCCTGGCAGAACTGCAACAACACCTGGAACACACCTAACTGCACCAGTCACGCCACCAACAGCAGCTTTTCCTCCACAGCCAGCCAGGAGTTCTTCAAGTACGTCCACAGGAGTACAGATAATGATTACATTATAGCAGGATTATAGGATCACTGAGCTACTTATTTGGCTGTTGTGTATCAGGGGTGAAAAAAACTAGCACACAACATAAATTTGAATTGGAACCACATCTTATCAGAGTCATGGGAGAGATATGGATTAAATTGAAGGTTAGTGATAAGACTTTGGCAAACTGATAGTAGGAAATGTCAAGTCACTTTTAATCTTTTAACTCCATTAACAGTCTAATGTGAAATGTGAAGGACACAATGGGATGAGTTGGGTTTGGTTTTCCAGTGAAGCCCTGCTGAAGATCTTCACAAAGAACCTGCAGTTTTCATTGTGAGGAGCTGCTGTTTAGATATTGGAGTGAGAGCTCACGTTTACAAATTGGTTTACTGATTAACTCGTTTAACTGTAGTTAGTGGATAAATGTAGGAATAAGTTTAAGTTTACTCAAAATGTGTCAGCCAAGCAACTTGTTAAATGTCACTACTCGTATTGGTGCTGAATGCCACAGCTGCACAGTGATTGCTTAGGAAATCATTCATTTGTCAGAATCCAGGGGGGACACGTTGTTTGACAGGCACACTCAGGTCCCCGATCACACCTGATTTAAAGTTTAGAAACTCTCCGGTGTTTGGACTGCGGAGGGAAATCCATGTGAACATGCAAAATCAGTGTTGGTGTGAAGCGTCACTGATGCAACAGCAGGCAGACGAAACTGTTTGGATTTGTGTGACAGCTGACCTGCTTAGACTCGCACTCATGGCTCTGTTAGACTGTAATACTCCTCATAAACTAATGTGTTACATTGATAAAGCAGCAGTTGTGTTGAAATAAATGTAATAATTGGCCAGAGGGTTGTGTCAGAATGAAGGCAAACTACATTAGGACGGTTAATCATGTTGTCACGTTAAGAGATGAGTGTGTATTACATGGGTTATTTGTTTGATAATAGTAAGTTTGAAGTGCAGTGTTGGATTAGCAGACGTGTGGAAAATGAACTACACATGTATAACTATACATGTTGCAAGATGTTCTGTCAAGACATTTCACTCTGATCCACAAATGTGCTGCTGGTGGCACCAGAGGAAGAGTCAGAGGATCACCACCGAACTCTGAGGGTTTCGTCCTTTGTCTGAATCTGTCCATCCATCTTGTAGATATTGACTGGATGTGTCACCAAAATCATTATAGAAATAACAGTGTACAGCAGCTTACCTCTGTGTGACAGGTGAACACACTGCTGCACTACACTCTGTTATGCTAGTATGTCAAACCTTTACCACATTTATTTTACACTTATTACACTCCAACTTTTCTTAAACTGCACTTGTACTTGTTCTGACGTACATGTATATTTTTCTTTACTGTTGTTTTTGATGTATATACTATATATTTTTATCTTTATTTAAGGCTCTGCTGCTTTCTGCAGGTATTGTTATCCTCAGTCTATTGTGATATGACAATTTCCCTCATTGGATCAATTAAGTATATCTATGTATCTATTAGGATTGATCTTCTGGTGGTAATCCATCAAAGATTTATTTTGAGAATTTGGTTGATAAAACGATCAAGTGGTCAGGTTAGGACAACACAGGAACCAGGGTGGATTGGAAAAATTAAAAAGGCCCAAAACAGTGCCCTGTGGTCCGCCACATGCTGATGCTTCCCAATGTCCACATGATTTTTTAATGACTCATTTAATTGTTAATTGCTTATAGTGTGTTAAGTTTTGAGACATAACGTCAGGATTAATGAAGAATGCTCTTCTAACCTCTTCTACTTCTTTATCTCTGTTCTCTGAAGATTTAAGATGCTGGAGCAGACGAGTGGAGTGGAGGAGAGCGGCGTGTTGCGGTGGGAACTTTTCCTCATCCTCCTCCTGGCTTGGATCCTCATTTACCTCTGCATCTTCAAGGGGGTGAAATCAACGGGCAAGGTGAGGGAATAGAGAAAGAGAGACTGAGCTGAGGACGGCCAACAGTGAATAACGCACATTGTTTTTGTCCGTGTGTAGGTGGTGTACTTCACGGCTCTGTTCCCGTATGTTATCCTGATCGCCCTGCTTATCAATAATGTGCAGCTTCCTGGAGCATTAGATGGAATAACCTTCTTTATCGTGCCAGAATGGGACAAGCTGCTCTCAGTGGAGGTAAGAGAGAAGAAAGAGCACAACAGGAAGTGGAAATTATTCTGGCTCTGTCTGACCTGCTTGGAACAGGAGAGCAACTAGCTAAAGATTGATATTGTTAGTATTAAATGGCATGGGTATCATTGATTACTGGCAGTGATCAGCAGCTTTGGATGAACATCCCTGTGTGTTGCAGGTGTGGGTGAATGCTGCAGCTCAGATCTTTAACTCCATTGGGATTGGTTTTGGTTCCCTCTTGGCCATGTCCAGCTACAACTCCTTCAATAACAACGTTCTGAAGTAATAACCCAGAAATCCTCGTCCAATCAGCAGAGGTGAAAATGATTTCTGGGCAGTAAAACAGACAGTGATGTAAAGATCATCTTCTCTCCTCACAGGGACACCCTGACTATATCCATCATCAACTCCCTCACCAGTATCCTGGCTGGCTTCGTCATTTTCTCTGCTTTCGGATACATGTCTCATCTGCAGGGCATCCCTGTCCACGATCTGGCTGTGGATGGTAAGAAAACAAATCTCCAGGGTGATTGTTTCTACTTCAGATTACATTGATTTCACTTTGGTCACTCTGTCTCATATAACACCCAGGTAGTTGGATATAATTACTCTGTTTCGGTTCATTTAAATGAATATAACTGCAATAAAAATAGGATATTTTACCCGTTTGAGGGTTTTTAAATCAGTATCCTGTAAGACAACGCTCCTGTTCCTGGTACATTTGTTACAGGTCGTCTTTATGAATCTATTTAATAATTCTGACTGTAGAAAAGTCACCAAGCTACAATCCAATGAAATATGAGTCATAATGGCAAAATAAAACCATGATGATGCTGTAAAGGAGAAACTCAGTTTATTCTTACAGAGTTGGCAAGAGCTAATCACACTTTACTGCTGTTATAGACACGTTTCTGTCAAACTAAAGATACACCTGACCTTTGCATCTAGAGAAAGAGCTCGTGCTGATACGATGCATGTAATGTTAATCATCCATATACTTTATTGCACACTGCTACAGTGGGGAGAACAAGTATTTGATACACTGCCGATTTTGCAGGTTTTCCCACTTTCAAAGCATGTAGAGGTCTGTAATTTTTATCATAGGTACTCTTCAACTGTGAGTGACGGAATCTAAAACAAAAATCCAGAAAATCACATTGTATGATTTTTAAGTAATTAATTTGCATTTTATTGCATGACATAAGTATTTGATACATCAGAAAAACAGAACTTAATATTTGGTACAGAAACCTTTGTTTGCAATTACAGAGATCAGACGTTTCCTGTAGTTCTTGACCAGGTTTGCACACACTGCAGCAGGGATTTTGGCCCACTCCTCCATACAGATCTTCTCCAGATCCTTCAGGTTTCGGGGCTGTCGCTGGGCAATACGGACTTTCAGCTCCCTCCAAAGATTTTCTATTGGGTTCAGGTCTGGAGACTGGCTAGGCCACTCCAGGACCTTGAGATGCTTCTTACGGAGCCACTCCTTAGTTGCCCTGGCTGTGTGTTTCGGGTCATTGTCATGCTGGAAGACCCAGCCACGACCCATCTTCAATGCTCTTACTGAGGGAAGGAGGTTGTTGGCCAAGATCTTGCGATACATGGCCCCATCCATCCTCCCCTCAATACGGTGCAGTTGTCCTGTCCCCTTTGCAGAAAAGCATCCCCAAAGAATGATGTTTGCACCTCCATGCTTCATGGTTGGGATGGTGTTCTTGGGGTTGTACTCATCCTTCTTCTTCCTCCAAACACAGCGAGTGGAGTTTAGACCAAAAAGCTCTATTTTTGTCTCATCAGACCACATGACCTTCTCCCATTCCTCCTCTGGATCATCCAGATGGTCATTGGCAAACTTCAGACGGGCCTGGACATGCGCTGGCTTGAGCAGGGGGACCTTGCGTGCGCTGCAGGATTTGAATCCATGATGGCGTAGTGTGTTACTAATGGTTTTCTTTGAGACTATGGTCCCAGCTCTCTTCAGGTCATTGACCAGGTCCTGCCATGTAGTTCTGGGCTGATCCCTCACCTTCCTCATGATCATTGATGCCCCACGAGGTGAGATCTTGCATGGAGCCCCAGACCGAGGGAGATTGACCATCATCTTGAACTTCTTCCATTTTCTAATAATTGCGCAAACAGTTGTTGCCTTCTCACCAAGCTGCTTGCCTACGGTCCTGTAGCCCATCCCAGCCTTGTGCAGGTCTACAATTTGATCCCTGATGTCCTTACACAGCTCTCTGGTCTTGGCCATTGTGGAGAGGTTGGAGTCTGTTTGATTGAGTGTGTGGACAGGTGTCTTTTATACAGGTAACAAGTTCAAACAGGTGCAGTTAATACAGGTAATGAGTGGAGAACAGGAGGGCTTCTTAAAGAAGAACTACCAGGTCTGTGAGAGCCAGAATTCTTAGTGGTTGGTAGGTGATCAAAAACTTATGTCATGCAATAAAATGCAAATTAATTATTTAAAAATCATACAATGTGATTTTCTGGATTTTTGTTTTAGATTCTGTCTCTCACAGTTGAAGAGTATCTATGATGAAAATTACAGACCTCTACATGCTTTGTAAATGGGAAAACCTGCAAAATCGGCAGTGTATCAAATACTTGTTCCCCCCACTGTATACCCTCATGGTATGGAAGCTGCCGTTAGCGTTCATGAAGGTCTGTACAGAATTTCACAGCAGTAAGTCCAGATGTTGAGCTCTTTTCAGTCTGGACCAAAGTGGTGGAACAACTGACCAATATTTATATCCCTAAAAAGAATCTGTGCGCTATGTTTCTATCTTCATGACATCTTCATCAGGTCTTTCTTCTGACAGTTTCCATGATTTCACATCACAGTTCATTCTCTAGGAGAGTCGTGATACATTGACATGTTGTGTGTCCAGGTCCAGGACTGGTTTACGTTGTTTACCCACAAGCCTTTGCCAACATGCCAGTGGCTCAGCTCTGGGCTGTGATGTTCTTCTTCATGCTGCTGTGCCTCGGACTGGACAGTGAGGTAGGTTGACGTGATAATCTATAGAAAAATAACTGATTATTTTCACTCATCCTAAAGAGCTGAGGTGTTTTTTTTTCCCTCTTCTGCCAGTTTGCAATGGTTGAAGTGATGGTGACGAGTCTCATGGATGAATTCTACCAACACCTGATCACATTTTTCAAGCGGAAGGAGCTGTTTGTTCTTGCTATTTGTGGTGCAGCCTGCCTTTTAGGAATTCCTTGTGTGATGCAGGTACAGACGACGTCTCATCAAATTATAACTGAACTGCAACAACTTCAGTCTCACACCTAAAGAGTGTCTCTCTCTCTCTCTCTCTCTCTCTCTGTCCAGGTGGGAATCTACGTTTTCCAGCTGATGGACCATTACACCGCCATAGTGTCCATCATGTTCCTGGCATTCTTTGAGGTTATAGCCATCTGTTGGAGTTATGGTGAGAAAAAAAAATGGCTGTCAGTGTTGTAGTCGCGTCACGAAACCTCCAGTCCTAGTCGAGTCTCGAATCCCCAGTGTTCCAGTGTGAGTCAAGTCGCCATTAGTCTGCTGAGTCTGAGTCTGCTTCACTCTGGCACAAATATAAAAAGGTTGACATTAAACACAGATGTAACAACTGTCAACATTTTAAGGAGAGTTTATTTACTGTGACACAAAAGACAAATTCACCATTAACAAAAAAAAGTCAGAGTCTTCGTCTCCAATTTCTGAGTAGGAATGGAATCAGGACTCGAGTCGGACTCCTGGTTAATGTGATGATACACAGTACCTTTATCTCGCCACTTCTCAGGCTTCATGTTGTATCTCTCACTTTTCAAAACCACAAAGCTGTAAAAAAAAATCTGTCAGCATCCAAATACAACAGGCTGTTTGCTGACAGGTGACGTGTTGTCTTGCAGGTGTGAACCGACTTTCAGACAACCTGGAGGAGATGACTGGAAAAAGAGCAAATATCTTCTTCAGGCTGTGTTGGCTGATAGTTGCTCCTGTGCTGATCACTGTGAGTCAGCAGGCTTTTTTTTTTTTTTTTTACATCAGCAGGATTTAAATTCAGAAGTGTCACAAGTATAATTGAAATGTTTCTTCCTGCAGGTTATCCTCATTTTCTCCATCATCCAGTTCAGACCGGCCCGCTATGGGGACTATGTCTTCCCTCCCTGGGCTCAGGGGGTTGGGTGGGTCATCGCCCTGGCCTCCATCATCTGGATTCCTTTGGGTGCAATTCACACATTGTGGGTGCTGCCTGGCTCGTTCATGCAGGTGACCTATGTTTACCATTTGCTTTTTTCCAATTCAAGTCACTGCGTGGAAACCCATGTTCATATAAACTGAAGCTGTGTGTTGATATTTTTGGTACATGTCTCCGACAGAAACTGAAGCTGTCTTTCACGCCGTACGGCCTGGATAAGATGACAAAAATGCCGTATTATGAGAGGGAAGGAAAAGACAGATGTCCAGTCATCGCTGTCATCAGCTCCAACATGTGTCGACCTGAAAAACCTCCCGTTCAGACAAACCTCTGATGGCCTACCTCTGTGCTCTGCACAACCATTATGTTCACCGTGTCACCATTAGTGGCAGGTTTTTGGCGAGCTCAAGTTAATCAGAAACGGTTTGCCATCAGACTTAAGTCTTGAACAAACAAAAAGTAAAAAAAAAAATAGTATAAGATAGTATAAAAATAGTATAAGAATTATTTACGTGATTGTGAAACATTTTGCTGCATGTCTGCCATGCTGCATGTCTGCCATGCAGATAATTTAAAATGGACATTTTTGTAAGCCTGTGAATTTAATTTTGTGAGATTTTGTTGAACTTTCTGTTCTGACTGTTTTGTTCATTTTTGCTGTAAGATTTTGCGACAGATGTGTTTAGAATCTGTTATTGCTGTGTGCATCTTCAACATCTGGCCAGCATTTCCTCTGCTGTCAGCTCCACAGGATGAGGGAGTGGCACCTCCGACTGAACACACTTCACTGTTCTCGTTTGTGGACTTGACTTTGTGAACGGCGCCATCTTTTGGCCATGTACTGTACGCTGCTGCAGTCTGAGCGTCGACAAATCTGTGCTCATATACTGTACTTAGATGTAACACTTACATCTTAGCTCATAAATTAACAAAGGCCCAGTATTTAATATTCACAGATCATACAGCTGAATTTTCTCCTGAACCACTTCCCTTAAAAAAACATAAAGCACTTTGGCCCAATTCAACATGGCTGACTCATTTATTAGGTCAAATGTAACAGGGCACTGCTGATGAAAATGATACATGCTGATGGTTAACAGATGAGTACATGGGTCATGCCACTCTCATGTCAGGTCATGTCATGTCATGTCAGGTGTAATAAAGACGTCACCAAGTCCACAGCTTGTCTCATCTCTGCAGTGACGAGTTAAGGTTAACGGCACGTCTAGTGAACACAACACACAACAACTCACTTTTGGGCAATGGTTTTTATTTATTAATTTAATGAGAAATCTCCACTGAAAGGTACACACTTCTAGTTTACACATGTGCACTGAGTTAGTTTCCTCGCCTACATGAGTTGCCAGTGTTTCCGTCTTATAACTCCCCAGAAATGAATCAAAAGTGCAGAAGAACTGAAATTACACAGGCGAAAAGGTGGATTATAGAAACCCATGTGCTTGTCAGACAGTGGCATCTCTCTTTTATACTTTTCCTGATTCCTTATACGGGGCTGAGAACTGGACAGATCCAAACAAAGGTAACTGGATGTGTTTGTGAAAACATCTGGTGAGTACAGGTGGCAGGTTGGACAGACTGTCAATGGTTAGTTACAGTGAGTATGAGACAGTTTTGTCTACGGTTAGTGAGTATGAGACCACATCTACCTATGATCCAAAGTTAAAATATTTATATAAAAAAAATATAAACAGCAATTACTCTTTCCATTTAATTTCAAAAAAGATATGTCATATGACCTACAAAAACAAAACAGAAAAACATGTGCAATCAATGGCATACTCTTCCCTCTGAAGTGATGGTCGTGCAGATGACCACATAGCACAGCAGCAACTCTCTCCTTTGTTATTTGCTCCTACTGTAGTCTGGAGTCGGCCCGCTCAGGACTGGACCCAATAATTCACAAATACCAGGTTGCTTCATTCAGTAGTATTTTCGTAGTGGTTTCCTAAGTCCACACCCTTCATTTCCTCGCACAGCCTCCTTAAGGCTCCAGCCCTCCTCGACCACATCCCTGCAGATCCAAAACAGCTGTAGTTGATTTGTTTTATCCCCCTCCCCCCTCCCTTGCCCAGCAGAGGTCGCTAAGGAGTCACCATGGCTGCTGTCTGCTCCTCCCGCAGCTTCCTGTTCACTGCTATGACACTTGCTCTACTGGCCTCATCTGCACGTCTCCGATCTGACGACAAGAACACGGGAGATCAATAATCAGATCAATATAGAAACCAAACCACACGTGATGGTGTGAGAGCAAGTGAGAGGAGGAAGGAGATACCTGGACATGAGGAGGGGCACTGAGGACAAATGTGACTGCACTGGCTATGTCTTCTGCTTTCAAACACTGAAACGTGGAGACATGATATTAGTGAAGCAGCAGCACAGGGTTGTTTTCACGTTGTGAAACACGTCTGTTCGCTCTTACTTTCATACTCTCATACACTGCAGCTGCTTTCTCTGGATCACTGTTGTGGTGCCGGAAGGCAAACTCAGTCTCCACTATTCCAGGAGATATACACTGCAGAGGAGGGAGAAGCATGAGGAATGTACTGTTTACTGTTGTCACGTGCATGCACAGACACAAACACACTGTCTCTTATTCACAGCAAAGGCCTACTGTATAGATTCATGTATGTGATCCAGTGTGTTACCAATAAACAGGCCAAAGAACCTGCACACTCGACTGACCGTGGCTCTGATGTGGGTATTTGCTTCTCGGAGTTCTTGCCGTATCCCCTCAGTCAGAGCAGTCACCGCATATTTAGTGGCACAGTAGAAATGCTCATCAGCACTTGGCACCATTCGGTGCCCCCCCATACTGCAGGAGGAGGAGGAGGAGGAGGAGGAGGAAGAGGAGGAGATGAGATAGAAACTGCATTTTCTATCTGAACTGTGATTCAAGTCCAAATGAAGCCTCTGACTTACTTGCCATGTTATTTTTAATGCTTCTAGTGTCTCATTTATACAGCAGGAAGTTTATTTGTCCAAAAATAAACATTTAAATCAATGAACAGATCCAGAAAATTCAACAACAGATTTATTATTAATCCCACATGATGCCAGTGGAAAAGGTCACTATCAGTTTGTTGCATGTGCAGCAGGGGACAGGTGGGGCTGAGGATTGGCTTTAGTTAACGCCTGCTGGATTAACATCACTTGAACAAACTGGCTGAGGTATTTCCAGATTAATCTATACATTCACTCTGAGACTGTCTTCATGTTTTACCTGTTAATGTTGATGATGTGGCCGTCGTCCACATTCCTTTCCTTCATTGATTTGTACGCCTCACGGGTGCAGATAGACAAGGCTAAGACATTCACCTGGGGAGGAGAAGACAGGCAACTTCATTCATCCATTCATATGTCTATCAATCATTAGCAGAACCTTATTGTGTTCTATTGTTAAATGTAATTTAAGGGATGCCCTGTGATAACAATATCAGATGGGCTGACTGATGTTCACTGGGTCAGTGTGTTAGATCATCTGAACCTGCTGCTCCTGTCCAGGTTGTGGCCTCTAATCTGCTCCTGCGCTGACACTCATCGACGGCAGGTTAAAACCAACATGGTGGCAAGATAGGGAAGTGACCAAACAAGGTCAGCGTGCAGATTAAACACAGGCTAAAAATACACTGCTGTACACATTCATGTGGGCTGCCATGACAACAGATGGACAAGCATTACGAATGCAGGACTCTGGAGACAGAGAGTTTAGAGCAGGGGGTCTTCAGTGGTCAAGAGCTCAATGAATCAGAATGTAAAGTCCCAACAAGAGAAATAGTGCTGGCTTTCATTAGTGGGCCTCCGCTGTGCCAGGGCTTCTCCTCTGAGCCATTGAGGCTGCCTCAGTGAGGGGAGGGGACCAGGATCTGTGTGTGTGTGTGTGTGTGTGTGTGTGTGTGTGTGTGTGTGTGTGTGTGTGTGTGTGTGTGTGTGGTGCTGTAGGCCCATGTATTCAAACATTTCTGCTCTTACTCTACAAGCTCAAGTCCTCCACTCTCTGCTCCTCCTCCCTCTGTTTGAGCAGAGCAGCCATAAAATCAACACAACATACGTGTGATGGGATAATCCCCCCCCATCCCCGTTACAGAGTCTAAGTTCTGAGCATTAACGTTTTTGTGTCTGTGATCCACCCACGTCGATCATGTTCCTCCAGCCCTCCGTCTTTCCGCTGAGCAGGGGCTCGTTGTGGGCCAGTCCGGCATTGTTGATGCACACGTCCACGCCCTTGTGCAGCGTCTTGATGGCTGAAAACATGGACAGGATCTCCTCCTCGTTGGACAGGTCACACTTGTAAGGGATCAGTGTGCCACTGTAGCCTGCGCTCTGACACTCTGCTGCCAGCTTCTGAAAAACACAAAATCAGACCAGTGTTTTACATGCAAGTTCCGCGTTCTTTTCAAGGTTTTTTTATTGGTATTTAAGACAGAGTGTCCCTCCCCCCTTCGTTCTGTTCCATCCCTCCAACAGAATCAGTCAATCTCCCAGCTCATCACATATACACACAGATAACTAAAGTCTGTGACAATAAATGTAGGCCAGACAAAAGAAAACAGACAAACACAAGCAAAAAACCCAGAATTAAATAAAATAAACAATACAGTAAATAAAAAGAAATAAAAAATAAGTTAAAGAACCACAAACAGGTAAATAAACAACAAAAACATTTTGTCACTGACTGAAGACTGTTGCATTTAATGGAACAGTTGTGTGAAGTGCAACTAAACTAAATTAAACTATCTACCTGCACCTGATTGATATTTTACTCTGTTTATTCTGATTAGATGTTTATGTGGAGCATTTTTATTCTGTTAGGGCTTTTAAACCAGTTATAACCGGAACAATAGGCTCCATGTAAACGTACCAACTGTTGGGTAAGAGCTAGAAATAATTAACCTGCAGCAGCATAATTAAGATAGAGTCCCACCCTACACCCTACCGACTCAGACAATGAGAAAGCAGTGAGAACGTGCAGCCATAAAATCAACACCACATCAGCAGAGGGCTGCACCAGTGAAACCACAATCACTCCAGTCTGATTGTGTTATTTTTTCCTGATAATACAAAATTAAAATCCCACCATCTTCCAAACTCTAAGTCATGACCACAGATGAACGGAGCTCTGCCTCTGTCTTCAGATACAGCTGGGCTGAGTCTGCAGCAGGACGAGCGGGCGTCACTCCAACCAGGTCAGCTGGCTGTCCACCACCGTGGGGTTTGATACAAACTGACACAGAAACCCACCCCCCCCCACCCCCCAAGCACAGCTGCACCAGTCACCTGACGTCTCATCCTGGGTGCCGGTCAGACAGGAGGGGCCTGGGTGATAAAGGGTGGGGCGGGTGGCAGACAGAGATGATGCACAGACCGTCTCACACTCTGCCTGTGTTCAGTGTCTGTGCAGCCGAGAGGATTAAATGTTTACTGAGTCCAAAGGAAAAACTGACCCTCTAAACC